CTACTACTACTACTACTACGACTACGACTACGACTACGACTACGACTACTACTACTACTACTACTACTACTACTACTACTACTACTACTACTACGACTACTATTACTACCAAGGACAAAAACTAGGACAACGACTGAAACCACCAAGACGACGACTGCTGCTACTACCACGATTGCGAGTACGACTGATACGATTAGTACTTGTTGCAATAGAAGTAGGAACAGCATTCGTACTAGCAGTAATTGCTGTGGTATCACAACTACGAATACTACTAGTACCACGACGGCTAATACTCAAATTGTTTGTCCTTCTTTTTCGCTGTGGTGTCCTTGTTTCCCTTGTTTTTCTTGTTTTCCTGGTTGTCCGCTCCTCGCTGCCCAAAACTGATTCGCGGCCTTACAACAGGATTCCTATTGTGGCAGCTTTACAACGGGATTCCTTTGGTGGCGGCCTTACAAAGCGATTATTCCTGTGGCGGCCTCATAAAGGAAACCCTTTGTGGCGGCCTTGAAAAAGGATTCATGGTGTGTCGGCATTGCAAAAAGATCCCTTTTTGTGGCGGCCTTATAAGAGGGATCTTTTTTTGTGGCGCCTTTAGACAAGGATTGTTGTTGTGGCGCCCTTACAAAACGATTCTCGTTGCAGCGGCGTTACAAATAAATTCGAAAAATAGGGCGTGCCGAAAAAAAATCTTCGGGAAACACAACCAAGCGATCAATTCCCAGATCTCAGCGGAAGACCTCACCATATATATAATATAATACAAACAGGTTGACGCTCGAATTTGAAATCCTTACGAACCCTATGAGTTGTTTGAAGGATTTCGGCTTGCGAGCGCGACAACGCGCGCGTGCGCACTTCGTCAATTTGTTCGCAAGGGACTCTTGCCAACTGATGAATTGTGATAAACGAACTCGCGCGCATAATATTTGTTGCAGAGGTTGGCGGGGCGGGGGCGGATACCGGATCGGCTTGGATGGTATGGATTCGTCTTCAGGATGGGCGACGTGGCAAAATCATGTGTAAATTGCGATACGGAAAAGGGGACGGATGATCCCAGGGGGGGTAAGAAAGGATAACTGATGTGGTGCAAAATGTGCGGCGCAGTCTACGCGGTGCAACTCTATTAGGTGACGACGGGGCGGCGACGGCGACAACATGGCCGCCAGACCCGCGGTCGGGCCAGGACAACAGGCAGCGCCGAGGCGGCGACGGGGCGGCGACGGCGAATCTTGGAGGCCAATTGCGAGGATGTCTCAAGAGACACGCGCCAAACCAACTCGCGCACATTTTCTGAAAGCCCAGAGTTGCGAGGATGTCTCACGCGAAACGAGCCAGACCACTTCGCGCGCACATCTTCCAGGAGCTCCGAATGGCGAGGATGTCTCAAGCAAAACGGGCTCGACCACCTCGCGCGCAGCATTTCAGAGCCCCGAACTGCGAGGATGTATCCGGCGAAACGGGCTGGACCACCTCGCGCACGACATGTGGGAGCTCTGACTTGCGAGGATGTCTCAGGCGGCGCCCAGACCCCTGCCGGAGCACAACTCGACAACAGAAGTGAAGTCAAATGATTCGTTGGGTCTGATCCCTCCTCCCTTCTTCCTCCCTCTCGGCGTCCTGAGTTTCGAGGATGTCGCAGGCGAAACGGGCAAGGCCACCTCGACAGCAGCATCTCGGAGCCTGAATTGCGAGGACATCTCAACCGAAACGGGCCTCACTGAGGAGAGAGAAACAAGCGGTAAACATAAACTTTTAAGGTCTTTCCGCCATCGCACCGCACCCTTGGGCGGGGCGGTAGTCTGGGGTCGTCCACTGCTTATGTTACACTTGCTGTTGTGTTGCGCGCAGCCTAGATTGTACCGATGTTATCCGGGCGAGTTGGGGCCGCGAGTTGCCTCCAGGCTGCGCCCGCTGGAAGCGCCCCTTGGCATCTAGTGAGGGCGCGCAGAAGTTGTTCGCGCACGGCGCCCGGTCGCGCGCTGTGGTTTCTTAGGAATTATCTTGTGCCCTGCGCGATGTACTGTGGGCTCGGTGCGCGATTCCCTTCGGCGTTGTAGTCCTTTGCGGCTCGGCGGTGACGGTGCCCCGCTGTCATTGCATGCGGTGCCAATGCTGATAAGAATCGCGCGTACTCTTTATCTTCAATGCAGCCGCCCTCACCCCCTGGATCAATACCGCCGCCGCCGCGGAGGAGGGAAGGGGCATCACGGGCAAGGACAAAAATACTTTCCCCGGTAAAATCAGACTTTCCCCGGGAAAATCTAACATTCCCAGGTACAACCCTTCCCCGGTTTGATTCCCCGGTAGAATCTGTGAGAGGCGTCTGAGAGGCTTCTGAGAGGCGTCTGGCTTTGCCTTTGAGAGGCTTCTGAGAGGCTTCTGCTAGGCTTCTGCGAGGCTTCTGAGAGGCTTCGGAGAGGCTTCTGAGAGGCTTCTGAAAGGCTTCTAAGAGGCTTCTCCGAGGCTTCTGAGAGGCTTCTGAGAAGCTTCTGAGAGGCTTCTCCGAGGCTTCTGAGGGGCTTCTGAGAGGCTTCTGAGAGGCTTCTGAGAGACTTCTGAGAGGCTTCTGAGAGGCTTCTGAGAGGCTTCTGCGAGGCTTCTGAGAGGCTTCTGCGAGGCTTCTGCGAGGCTTCTGCGAGGCTTCTGAGAGGCTTTTGAGAGGCTTCTGAGACGCTTCTGAGAGACTTCTGAGAGGCTTCTGAGAGGCTTCTGAGAGTACTACTGCTACTACTACTACTACTACCACCACCACCACCACCACCACCACCACCACCACCACCACCACTACTACTACTACTACTGCTACTACTACTACTACTACTACTACTACTACGACTACTACTACTACTACTACTACTACTACTACTCTACGA